CGCCCTAAAAAAAAAAAAAAAAAAAAAAAAAAAAAAAAAAAACTCAACAACAAAAACACACACATAAGTCAAGAAAAAGAACATGAAAGGTGTCAGGATGTTACAATCGACATCTGAAATATTTTTAAAAACAAAAGTAATGTTGTAAAGAATGATAAAACAGAGAGAGAATAAATCTATCCAGTTAAATGGGCTTCCAGCTCCTCAAAAATCACATAAGGGTTTAGATACACTTTAAAGGAAATTTCACCAGCCCACCACATTGTCATGAGTCACGGGGACTCTGTAACCTTCAGAAATAATCTGATTTAATTTTTGGCCTCTAGGAAAAAAAAAGGCCTCCACAGAACCACCTTCCAATCCTGAATTAAAGGATGGCAAGAGGATTCTCAGCATATTGGTAATCTGTTCAAGTTCTTTCTTATACATCTACGTTCTACCTAGCTGGTGCAGGAATACATAGCCACTCCCCCTCATACCAGCTTCAATGGACGTTAGAAAAAGTTTGGTCACCGGGACCAGCAGTTAGCATGGCTATGTTGCTGGACTACCATGTAGCCGACCACGGTTCAAGTCCTGGGCCCAGTGGTTTAAACTCACACCAGGCATGTGTGCATGCGTGCCCAAGATCCTGAGAGGATTGCGGTGTGGCCATCCCCCCTGGGGGGTGATTTCTCACTTTCTGTCTCTCTGTCTCTCTCTCTGTTTTTCTGGCAAGTGCACACGTCCCATGACAAAAACATCTCAAAAAAAAAAAGAAAGAAAAATTTCGGTCAGACCCAACTGCAGTGGCGTGGCAGTGGCACAACATTCTGCAGTACTGGAAACCAAATGGGAGATCAGGATTCAGTTCCTAGGTCACCCTGAACGTGTTGGGCATGGGTGCACCTGCCCAGACCCTGGTTTGCTAGAAAAGCCTCAAGATGGGTGGATTACTGTGTAAGACCCTATTGAGGGTACTTATCTTTCCCCCTCTCTCTCATGAAAGAAAAAGAAGTAAACTTAAATATATGTAGTACCTTCAATTATCTAGTATTTAAAAAGATTCCTCGGCCAGCCCTGTGGCCTAGTGGTTAAGGGAACTGGATCCCACACAGTCATCTGCAGTTCAAATCACAGCGGCAGCTTGAAAAACCAGGCGTGTGTATGTGCATGTGTGTGTGCACACAGACTCAGAATCCCAGTAAAGACAGAAATGGAGGAGAAAGGACTGCAGTGTGAGTGCATCCCACGGAGGTGCTTTCTTCCTCTGCTTCTGTCTGTCCCTGTCTCTCTCTCTAGTGAGTACACATACTCTCTGACAATTTCTTTTATTAAAAAAAATTTTTTTATAGCAGTTTCTTTTTTTAAAAATCACTAAGAAGCGTGTGTACTGGACCAACAGATACAGAGAGAAAGAGGGAGAAGAACGAAGCGCTCCCTATTAGGATGTGGTCACACTGCAATCTTCTCTCCACTATTTTTCCATACTGTCAGGATCTGGGGCATCCACACACATGTCCCGTGTGTTTTCCAAGCCACCAGGGCAGGAATTCGAACTGCAATGGGTTATATGGAACCTGGCTTCCCTAGCCACTAGGTAACAGGAACAGACCCAAAAAAAAGCAGTTTCTTAAAGAAAAATAATGGATCAGGTTTTCATCATGCCACCAGTAATTTCATTTCCAGGAAAAACAGGTACTCTTTACTGCTACCAAATAAGTATGCACATAGTACATTCACAGTGCCCTAGAAATGTCTGTTTACCATATCATACCAGAACCTGATGTGATTTTATTATTTAAATGGTTTTCTTTGTGGCTCCCCATATAGACGGTTTTAAGTAATCCAGAGTTAGGTTACATCTTCTTAAGCTCCACTCAACGACTGTTGATTTTTCACATTTCACACTGCAGAAAAAAATCCAGTAAGGGGCCCAAACTCCTCAAAGTGAAAAAAGACTAAAAGATGACTACCCTAGTCTGTTAATGAGAGGATGTTTTCAAGTGGAGTACATCCATTTCTAATTGCTTCTGGCTTAGAGAGGGCAGGACATATTGCAATGGCCCCTATACGTCACACAGGATGGGGTAAATACAACTTGCTTCTGATAATGAAGGGGGAGAAATTAAAAGAAAAAAGGAAATTTGGACACATAAACAATTATTCTTATTTTAAAAATAGGAATCAGTCCAATTACAGAGGGGAAGCAGGGTGAAGTAGGAACAAAGCAATACGCACTGCAAAAACAGAAAGAAAACATGTTTATTCAGAAAGAGAAGCAAAAGAGGAGAGAGAAGTAAAAATTACCACCAGATATAGGCCTAGACTATTAATTCAAAAAGAGCTCAAATTCGAGTATATTTTTTTTCTTAAGTTTTCTATAATAATCTCACAGTGAAGACCTTCAAAATTAATTGATGTCTGCAACAAGAATGTGAATAACCATACGCCACAGCACGGAATATTACATACTGACGCGAGTCTCCCACGCAGGTGTCCAGGGTCAGAATTAATCTAACAGATGTACCCAGGGCTGATTTTCATGAATTTCAAACAGTTAGGTTAGTCAGCTCTGCTTCTAAAAACAAGGAGATCTGAAATGACGAGGTGCTTTCTTGGTTTGTTTCTAACATTTTGCTTTTGAAATCCAGGGCTACTATACAAGTGGAGCATCAAGACGTTCGAAAGCACAATCGCCACAGCATTCGGATTTGAAGGCAAGGAGTTCATGATGAAAAGCCAAGTAGCAGGAGATGCCCCCCAGCTCTGCCCAGATGGCAGGCTCTGCCGGTGCAAGCTCCAACCTGTCCCTTGATTTGAAAGGGCAAAGCAGAGCACTGTGTAAATTGCTTCATCGCCCTGCTGGTTATTTTGACACAAATCCTCCAGGGCCAAGGCCAGTGCCAGAGAAAAAAGACTGATCTCTAAGACATGTAAATGTAGGTTCAAGGCTACCTGTTTAGGGGAGCAAGTGTCAGGATTTGTGTGGGATGCTTGGAGGTGGGTGGGATGAAACGATAATTGAGGAATGCTGAGTAGCAAGAACAGCTCAATAACAAGGCATGCTGGTCACTCAGGAACTACAGGAGACTGGTTTCAGGAGCCCCTGTGGATACCACAACCTGAGGATGCTCAAGTTCCTCCTGTCAAACAGCATCGTATCTCCATATACGCCTCTACCCATCCTCCCCTATGCTTTGTGTCACCTACAGATTACTTATAATATCTAATACAATGCAAATGCTATATAAATAGTTGGTATACGGTATTGCTTTTTTAAAATTTGTATTATTTTTACTGTTGTATTGCTATTTTTTATTATTTGAGGGGTTTTTTGAATATTTTCTATCTGCGATAGGTTGAATCCACAAATATGGAATCTGTGGGTACGGAGGGCCAACTATAGTATGCTTAATAACACTAAAGAAATTTCCTTGATCGTAAGCATTTTCCACATTTAAGGTTTCTTTCCAAGAAATATTAGTAAAAACAGTGCAAAGGCACAGAATAAACCTCTTGAAGATGTATAACTGGAGCATCAGGAATACGTATGCTCTCCTTCAAGGGAAAAAAGAGGTTCTAGATCTGTAGCAAAATTTTCAATCCATTACAGGAACAATGTGACCACAGCTTACCTTGCTTTACAGCTTTTTGGTGACAGAATAACTGTGCCAAAAAGGCAGTAAAAGAAATAAAGAAATCTCCACAGAAAGAGATGCAGAGAGATTGAATAACTTGCCCACGTCATAGCAAGTCAGATCCAGAGCCAAGGCTATAATTCAGGGTTTCCAATTAGCGGGCCTCTGCTTCTAGTCAAGGTACATTGATTCCTAGGCTGCAAACATCACTTAATGTTTTCAATTACTCTGAAAGGCCCAGGAGGAAATAAAGAAATAGCACTTACCTTTGACAATTTGCTTTGCACACGCATTATAAACCTGCTCTTGGGTTGTGTTGGGAGGTAGCACTCTGTCAAAGACATATGGCTTCCCTTGCTAAAAAAGAAACACAAAAGAAAGAAAAAGGTGGAGGAAAATACATTAGAGGTTTAGGAATAAAAAGCACTAACATTAGTAGTTAGACCAAGGGCAGTAAATAACCAATCCTATGCTTTAAGGCATATTTACTTTAAACAAAGGTAGAGAATTTTTACAGTGTGAACCATGCATACATTGCATACATGTATATTGTAGGCTGAGAATCTAACAGTGAAAAAAACATTTTTTAGTTTGAAATATTTTTTGATGTAAAGTAGGCTGATCATTCATTCTAATAAATATTTATTGGGAGCTTGCACTGAGCCAGGGACTAGACTAGATATTGAGGAAATCAGAAAACAGTCCTGCCCTTGTGAATTGTTCAATTAAGTGGAGCAGATAGTAATAAACAAAAAAGCAAACACAGAGGGAAATGCAAAATCCCTAGGTATAAAATTTTATGAAAGAAGGGATGGAAAAAGGGCAAGGCAGGCCTCACTGAAGAAGTACCAATTTAATGGGCCTTTAAAGGATAGGAAAGACAGAGAGAGGCTCATGACGCACGGCGGAAGAACATTCCAGGTACAGATGTGAGCAAACAGCACAGGGCTCAGAGTGTTCAAGGAGCCAGAGGGAGCTACAAGGTGAGGTTGGTAAGGAAATCAGGAGCCAGTCCATACAGGGCACTGTTAGCCAAAGTAATGTGCCTAAATTGTATTCAACTGGAAGATGACATGATCAGTCAAGAAGCTGCTCTTACTATAATAGAAAGATATTAATGCTTTGCAGCCCAAAGAATTGAAGTGTTTTCTTCCATATGCATAAGTAGTTCCTTACTTGAGTTACGGCTTCTGAGACAAACGGGGCCCTTCGGACAATAAATCAAGAGATTTCCACAGGCGTGAGGTCTTGGGATTTGGTTTGTCACTGGGCTATGTGCAATGAAGTAGCCAGTTGAGGAAGGGGAAGAAGATCTACCAGGCACTACAGGAGCCCTGATGCTAGATCACTCAGTATTCAGCAGGGAGTCACTGGGCAGCTATGTGCCGAGCATGGTGATGAGCACTGGGAGAATGAGGACGGTAAGTCAGACTCGGTCTCTCCCCTGGGAGAGTCATCCTAACAGCATCCCCTCTCTCCCAGGACCAGCCCAGCAAAGAGCAGCCTTTCATTGCCCTGCCCTTAGCTCCATGGACCTACCCAGGTGGCCCTTGCTCTTCATTTTCCCCAGATGGCTGAGGGGCTGAGGGGAGGACAGGAGAGAAGGGAGGGAAGGGAAGAGCAAGAGCACCTTTCACGCCCACCTTACACCTCCTACAAGTAGCTCTGGACAACAGGAACCTCCCAAGGACACTCCGACTCCTCCAAAAGAAAACTGCTCATCTCAGGGCAAACTTGTTACATCCTATAACCCTCACACAAAGCAAGTACACGGCTGTCAAAGCAGCTTAATGTCTTACTCATTAGCACTGTGGGTAGAGCTGGGCTGGAGGTCAAGACCTACGCTTTAAGCCTTATACTTTGAAACTGCGATTGAGACAACCAAGTAAACGAGCTACCTCCAGTTTGATCTAAGAAAACTAGAAGTTTTTTGTTATTTATTACTATCATCATCTTTTTTATATTACATTGAATCACATATATCTTTACAGTGTATTACATTTCTTTTTCCAGCACAATTTACCATGCTTATCAGTCAAGAAAAAGACATTACTATCCACATCATCATCATCAAATAACTTTTCATCATTATTTCAGATTATTATTGTTTATTCTTATTATTTCCTTACACATTCAATCACTATATATCATTTGGCTCATATAAAGAATTTACCCAACATGAAATACTTCTCAGAGCAGTCCAGTTGAGAATACTATACATGTTATTATCAACTAGTAATAAACTAAAAAATAGAGAATTTTGAAGTCTCATAAAATTTTGTTTTTATGCAAAGCAGCAAAACCAGATTTATTCTGCTAAAATTATGAAAAGATATCATTCTCTGATATTTTGTTCCAAGTAAGTCACCTTTGGTTAGTAAACAAGTATTTGGCTAAATAGCCAAGAGAATATCCCTCAGCACAACTGACTGCCAACTATAACCCACCACATGAATTCTGCTGTTGTTCATGAGTGCATATACACGGGGGGGAAGGAGCACTCCACAAGACTTGGTTACAACTGTGATCCCCTTCCTTAAGTCCTCCAGCCCACCAGGACCCTGGGCACACATGTATGCACCATGTGTGTTTTTCATGCCAGGGACTCAAACTGTGGTCAGCATGTGGAATTGGCTTCATCTGGTATACTAGACACTGCATCACAGAGGTGGACTAGACTGCTTCATTTTTGCTAACTTTATCTCTTTGTAACGTTCAACTAATGTCAATATAGTAAAAGGTAAGAATAAACATTCACAAGGTTTTTGTCATCCACAGAACCTTCTAGAAAGAAGATGCAGCATTGCTTAATTTAAAACAAGTCTGTTTCTCCTCAAAACTTAATGAGAATCACCAAAATAAACCAACTTCATGCTTTACATTTTAGAGACAATGCACTTAATTCTTCAGGGAAAATAATCTTTAATTAAATTATAGTGGTACTAAAAAAGTAGGACTCCCTAGTTTTGTCCTTCAATTTAAAATGTTTACTGGAGTGCATTATACTTGCAATGGAGAGCAAGAAATCTTTGCTCTGTATTTAAATAATATTTTTTTCAAGAAACAAACAGATAATAAAGTAATCTCCCATAACCTAAAGTTAGTTCCCAAGCAGAAGCTACCTTCAAATCATTATAACTGGGGACCAGCAGTTAGTGTAATGACTATGTTGCTGGACTCCCATGTAGTCAACCATGGTTGGAGTCCCAGGCCCGGTGGCTTAAACTCACGCCGGGCCTATGAGCGTGCGTGCCCAAGATCCTGAGAGGAGAATGGAGGAGAAGGGATTGAGGAGTGGCTATCCCCCCTGTAGGGTGATTTCTCGCTTTCTGTCTCTCTGTCTCTCTCTGTCTTTCTCGTGAGCATACACACCCAATAGCAAAAATCTCTCCAAAAAAATAATAAAAAAAATAATAATTACAACTGGAACGATAAAGAGAAAAGGTAAAATTTAGAAAATAATTTCTGGGCCAGCCAATGGTGTGGTAGGTAAGGCAGCCAGATCTTACATGGCTAACTTCACAGTTTGAGTCCTGGATCTGGACCTGGCAGCTTGAAAGGCATGCCAGGTGCATGTGCATGCATGCCAAAAATCTCAAGAGGAGAGTGGAACAGAAGCAATGCAGCACAGCCATTCCCCTTATGGAGTGATTTCTCATTTTCCTTCCCTCTCTCTCTATTTATCTCTCTGTCTCTGGCAAGTGCACTCATCCTATAGCAAAAACTAAACTTGTCACGACCAAGTATTTAGTAAGAACTAACACATTAAATAGTTAAAAATGTAAACATTTCAGGACCAGCAGATGACATAACGGTTACATTGCTGGACTCTCACAGGCTGACCATGTTTCAAATCCCAGAACCAGTGGCTTGAAACTCACACCAGGCACATGTGCATAAGTGCCCAAGATCCCAGGAACGAAATGGAGAAGGGATTATGGTGTGGATATCCCCTTCTCACTTTCCCTCTCACTGTCTCTATCTGCCTGGTGAGTACACGTGTCTTAAGGTAAATCGAACCCACCTCCTAAAATGAAAACATTTCCATTTATACAGTGTCCTTTTATACAGTGAATTAGTTAGAGGCTCTTATTTTAGCCTGTATTTCCATTCTCTTCCAAGAGATTGATTAGAACTTAATTGATGAATATTTTCAAAGAACTGACTTGCAGTATAGCCATAGTAACTATATGTGCAGTTACAAAAAGAAACTCAAAACCCACCAATTGCTCTTTGCTGATTTATTAATGGTATGAAAATCTCACAAACTTTGATAATTTGAACAAAGAGCTAGCCCCATAGCACAGCAGTTAAAAGTTTGTGTGGGTGGAGCCGGATCCTAGATGGCCATCTGTGGTTCAAATCTCAGCCCCCATAGCTTGAAAAACAGGCCAGGAGGATGTGCATACATGACCCAAATCCTGACAGGATGGAAAAATGGAAGAAAAAGGATTGTGACCATGACCCATGGGAGTGCTTTCTCTCTCTCTCTGGAGAGTGCATGTGCCCTCTGGCAATTTAATTTTTAAAAAAGACTTAGGCAAAGGCTCTTTCCTCTTGGCCCCCAAGGACACAAGATTGTATGTCTGACCCCACCATGGCTGAAGGTTTCTGTAGTCAAGAATTGGGTCCAGCTGCTCTAATCATCACTGAGTTTACAGTTACAGAATAAACTTTTCAAGTTGCATTTTAACATGGGTACTAAGTACTAGCACTGAAACTGAACAATGGACCCCTTCTGAAGACACTTTTCCTTTCCAGTTGTCTAATCAGCACATGGTTTTTTCTAACCTCTCTGGCTACCTCTACCAGAGTCCTCTTCGGGAATTATTTTCAGGTTCTAAACAATGGTGTATTCAAGACCCATTCCTCAACCTCCTCACTGCTGACACCTTGATCTTCATGTAATTTAAATAAATAGTTCACCCTTCATCTCACCTAACCACCAGATTCATATGTCTACGTGACATTTCCACTTGGGTGTCCATTGACCATCTCAAACTTTACTGGAGGGAAAAAAAAAATCAAGGCCTCCATATCACTAATCCCCTAGTTACTCAAACTGAAAACTTAAAAGAGTCATTCAGTATGCCCCATAGATTCTACATCAAAAATTTATCCAAAACTCTATCACTTATCGTCTTTACCACCCAACCATAGTTTCTCATTTCTGTATCAATCTCTTCTACACAATAGCTACAGCTTCCTGGGTGATCATCTTGCCTCCATCCTTACTCCTAACAATCCAATTTCCACTTAGCAGTCCAAGTGAGCTTCCTAAAACTATAAATCAAGTTATTTCATCTCCTCACTTAAAAAAACCCTTTAATGGTTCCTATTATACTTAGACTAGACCC